AATTTTTATATAATTATTAAGAAATAAATTATATTATAAAATAAAACTTTTTTTAATTTTTTTAGTCAGTGTAAAATACTGTTTTATTAAAAGAAATATAAAAAGTACATAGAATTCTATTAGTTTATATTCTTGGAATTCTAAAAGAATATTAATATATTTTATTAAAAAGAATAGTACTAGACTATTATCTAGTAATTTATCTAATTCTATTCTAAGTATAGAAAATTAGAAATATATTAAAAAATTTCTTCAGTAGACAGTTTCTGATATCTATAATAAAAAGATTTAAAAGCTTAGTTCTACTATATACTCTTTTTTTATTAAGAATATTTTGCTTAAACTATATTATTCAGATTTTGAAAAGATCTTGAAAAATAAGTAAAAAAAATATTAATATAGAAAATTACTTCTATTTAATTTATATATTTTGAAAGATAGTAATATAATCTTTTATTTATCTAATAAGATTTAAGAAACTCGGAATTTTTAGATTTAAAAAGATAAAGCTATATAACTTAATAAAGTTATTAAGTAAAATAGAAAATTTTATTAAAAATAGAAAAAAAAAGAAAAATAGCTTCTAATAGAAGAATATAAAAGAATCTAAGCTTTAAATAAGAAGATATATAAGTAAATAAATATTTAAAAGCAGTACTAAAGAGAAAAAAAAAATTTATTAAAAAAACTAATTTACAGCTTTAAAATAATATAAATCAGACTGTTAAAGATAAGATTAAGATTTCTATACTATTAACTCTAAAAATTAGAAAGGATATTAGTAATTAAAATAAGATTATTATTATAGAGACTTTATATAGTATAAATTATTAGAGTAAATAGATCTGTTTGCCTATATATTTTCAGGATTATTAAAATAGTTATATAGATTCTATATAATTTAAATACTAAATTACTAAGAAATCATACAATAGTAAACAATATATATAATTGTAGAGCTTTATCTTTAACTCTGGTTTTCATAGGAAATCGGGCGTCAGGTGGAGGCGGGTGTCAGGTGATCAGGTACGGTATGGGAGCTAGGCCTAGGAATAGTGCGGTCCCGATCCCAAATATTAGGACCAGGACCGGACCTTGCAATCTTTGGTCTTTTCTCAAATTGCTGAGGACTGTACTATGGTCCACCGCAGTCCTAAGCAGTCTTTATTCCCGGGGACCGTTATTATATAACCTTGTCAAGATCTTCTGTTTCAGCTACATAAATATAATAATTTATCACAGCAGTTTCTTACAATTGTAACAGTGTTCAGTGTAAATACTATCAGTATTCTATCTACAATACCATTAACTTTCTATCATTTTTCTATTGAGTTTCTATTTGGTTTCTATTCAGTTGTAAGGGCGCCTTCGGCGTACGCAATAGGCTAGTGCTACGCCGTCGGAGCTCAGTAGGCCAACGGGCTTCAGGATAGGTAGTCCAAAGAGAATATCTCGTGTTCCGATTACTAGGAAAATTGTATATAAGGTAGAACAGAACAAATCGCTTGAGGATCTAAATCCTCAAGCGATCGGAATCTATATAGTGCGTTTTGTGGGCCCGATGGCCCCCCAGCGCCTCGCTTGCGGCGGGGGGCATACAGCTCCGGGGGGGGGGGGGCAGGATTTAGTGGCTGGGGGTCAGAGTGGAACGGAGAAACTATTCCCATGACAGCAGACGGCTTGGAAATCTTTCTCCACAAGTCTTCAATGCTCGAGAATCTGCAGCTATTAATGAAGCCTGTAGTATGTACGAGGGTGCAGGATGCTCATGAAGCCTTGGAAATGTGGTTCTATACGTAAACCCTTACGTTGGGGGCATGGGTCGCCTACCAGGAAGGATGGCTGAATAAAAATGGAGAGAATTGAAGGAAATATATCCAAACGAGTAGCATGATGGTTATACGAGTAAACTCAATCATCGGAGCTGTGACAGTGCCAGCTATGTCTCCCCTCCTTTAGTACAACGCTGCGCAACCAAGAGACTCAACGTCTCCAGTGTGGCCGCCCCCTGAGTCTCAAAAACAGCAAGGTCGATCTTGAACTCCTTTACAACCCAGTTCCGCAACTCAATGCCCAGAAGGGAGTCCACTCCAAGTTCCGAAATTGGTCGATCACGGTCAACCGACGAGCTATCCTGCATGGTGATCAGTGATTTTGCCAGCTTTTTGATAATGGCCTCGGCAGCTATTTGGGCCGCTTCTTCTGGGCATGATGAAGCTACTATACGCTCTCGATCACTGAGAGCATGCTGAGTGCCCCCTGCACTAACACTAGCACTAGCCCCAACCTGTTGCCGATTCCCGGCCAGCATAAGCTGCTGCAACATAGGCTGCCTCTGGTAATCAATACTCTCGAGCCCCTCGCCACCACCGGTCCCCAAACCAAGCGCAATCTGCGCCTCATGCGGGCTCGCCACGTCCCTTGCTGGATCACAATAATAGTCCAAAATGCCATAGAACTTAGCCCGCGTAATCGGCTCGAGGGTGCCGTATGCGAGGACGCGACGCAGCAGGCTAGGATCTTCTGCCAGGATCCCATCATCGACCATCGCTCCGAGGTCCAGGGCAGTGGCCTTTTCACCTTGGCTGACGCGGTAGCGGGCTAGTCCGTCTTCGTATGTGTTCCCTGCGTCGTAGTTCGCTTGGCCTTTTATTCCGGCAAGGCCGGACGCCGAGGAAAGCAAAATGAAGAAGTCCATCCCGCGAGGGAGGACTCTGTGGAGATTCCACGATCCGAGGGACTTGCAATTGACGGCGTCTTTCCAATCGGGGTAGGGCATCTCGGAAAAGAGACAGTCCTAGGAATGAGTTAGAGCATGGACAATGTTGGCTTTGTTGGACAAAGACAAAAGTAAATATTCAAAAGCAACGGCATTGTGTTCGTTTGACATACCCTAGCCACAATAGACATTTGGATCACACCCTTAATAGGTGGCATCTCGGAGGAAAGCCGACCAAAAACCTCCTTCATCACCTCCAGGTTCGTCACGTCACAGGCTGGTGTCTCGACGCGAACGCCCCTTGTTCGTAGCTCATTAACCAAAACAGTAGCAGCGTTAGTGCGAGGCCCATATCGTGAAAGCAAGACGAGGTTCTTTGCGCCGCGCTCAGCCATCCATCGCGCTGCGGCACGTCCGATGCCTCCAAGACCGCCGGCTAGCACGAATGTTGAATCAGAGTCCATATCGAAGCTTGGACGTGTATTAAGCGTGACCTGGGAATGGACAAGTCAGCATCGGGTGCAGATTTATTTATGCTGTTAATAAAGCCTTGGAGATGAAATATATTACCGGGACCCGGGATTCAGGAGTCACTTCAAGCACAAACTTGCCCATACTCTCACCCATCTGGACCTTCCGAAAGACCGTCTCAACCTCACCAATATTATAAACATGGAATGGCTGCACGGGGTGAAGCTCCCGTCGAGTAAACATGTCAACCAAAAGTTGAAGATTGCTCCGGCACCGCGATGGATGCCGACGCAAGAAAACAGAGCCGTCGAAGACAATGAATGAGATATTCTTGCTTAACACAGACATCGGCAAGTGGGAATTAGAATCAATGTCTTTCCGGCCAATCTCGATGAATCGTCCACCGGGTGCAATACAGTCCAACGAAGCGAGGAGGCCGTCTCCTGCTAGCGAGTTCAGAATCACATCCACACCGCGGCCGGCCGTCGCGCGCTTGACGCCCGCAACGAAGGTTGTATCTCGGCTGTAGAAGATTTGGTTCTCTGGAATACCATATCGATCCATTAGAAGATTTTTCTTGGCTGTCGATCCGACCGTAGCTAAGATCGTGGCACCGATGCACTGAGCGATTTGAATCACAGCCTGTCCGGTGCCACCGGCGGCAGCGTGGATCAATATTGTCTCGTTTTTCTCTAACCGCGCGAGATAATTGACAGCCTCCCAGGCCGTGCCGAACTGGGCTGGTATGGCAGCTGCTGTGGTGAATGGCATGTTGTCTGGTATAACAATCGCCATTTTGCCTCGGGCCACCGTTTTGAACGTCGAAGGGTGGGCGAGAATGACCCGGTCGCCTGGCCTACATGATGCACTCGTGCCAGCGCGAAGTACAACACCCGTGCACTCCTGGCCCATCGGCGCATCGGGGATCTGACCCATCGCGATGAGAAGATCGCGGAAGTTCATGCCGATCGCATGCGTTTGAATCTCCACCTCGTCAGCTGCCAGAGGTGCGTGAGCATTGGCATCTTCTGAAAAGCAGAGCGAGTCTAGGATACCAACAGAACTTAAGGTCAGCTCGAGTGGCAGACAGTCCTTGACTAGTTTGAAACCTGAGTGTCTAGGTTGCCATCTCCTGTGCAGTTCGTGGGTGACGCTCGCAGAGGGGACAATTCGAGGAATGTGTAAATATCCCCTCAACTCGAGGAACTCGGAATCAATCACTGCCGGGTTAGGATTGGCGTGCTTGTCAAAGAGCAGACGAGTTAGTATCTGCAGGTGCCACTGTGACAGATGCTTCGTGCCTGTCTCCTCGAGTGCGGCAACTGTTATATTCAGCAGAGGGTACTCGTGCCGAAGAGCGCGAGCTAAGCCATGAATAAGATGGTATTCAGGCCTTCCTGCCTCGGTTCCACCAGCGAACGTCGCCCATAGAACATGTGTAGCTTTCTGGAAAAAAGCATTCAGAGTGTTATATGTGTCGTAGCTAATCTCGTATAGAAAAGGTTGATCTAGCTCTAGTAAGACCACAAAGATGAGATTTTCAATAGACCACATGGCCAGTGCCTCCTCTAAGCTTCCCATTTGAACGGTGAAACTGTGCTGACGCGCCCAATGCGTAGCTAAGGAACCGGCAACCTGCGTTTGCACCGTCGATTCCGCATCCATGATTAGAAATACTGGCTTATCGATCTCTCGGGTCTGAGAATCGAGGAATCCGCCATGGTAGACACGCACAAGAGGGTCCGGCACATTCTTGAACTTGGGATTTTGCAACTCCAAGCCGGAGTAGAGCAAATCACTATTCGGTGCAAGCCCCTGCACGATATCGCAATTTGGGACATCATGCCCTGCCAAATGCGGATTGCTGGACCCGCCGAAAAGAAACACTTTTCCAGTGGGAGACACGAGGCTTTTCAAATTATGCAGTGCCATTAGGCATCCTTGTACGGAATCAGGTGCCAGAATTATATCGTAAGGCCCTTCAAGATATTGTTTTTGACTGGCGATATCTTGAGAAATGTCACATAGGGCAAATTTAACGAACGAAAAGCCATGGAGATCAATTTTCCGCTGATCGAGAATATCGACCGAAGTGGCAGTCATGGTGAACGAGGAATACCTGGGATAGACTATTTCACCGGCCTCATTGTACACGGACAGGGTATGCAGCAAGGCTTTTGTTGAGCTGCGATCCCCAACATTCAGCTCCAAGATGCGAAGATCGCCATTTTTGTGGGCGAGCATATCGATATAGCGTTCTACTGTTAACGAGTCCCACCTAGATGCATGTTTGTAATTCAGAAGCACATCTTTGGGGTCCAGGAAATCGGGCTCGGGCTGATACTGTATTTGATATGCCAGCTGGAGCCCGCCCAGTGCATCAGCGACAGAATCATCTCTAGAGCTGGCGATGGTAGTCAATCTCAGCTCGCTAAACTGCACCGACAAAGCACCATTACTCTGATTCAAAGCGAACCCACTGAAGCACGCTCCACGACGGTCTAATATTTCTGGCCAGGTATACTCCTGGACCTCGTCACCATCTGGATAGCTCAATCCCGTCTTGCTGACATACAGTCGGCGCAGAGATGAAGGAATCATGGTGGGAATAGTCCTTTTGCCACTATGGCAATATCCGATGAGTGCTAGGTGAAAGATACTGTCCAAGGACGTTGGATGGATAACGTGAGGCTGTGGAAAGCCATCTTCGGGCCAGCGGAAGAGCCCGATTGTCGCTCTGACGCGGTATTGGTCGTCATAGAATCCTTCCTTGACACGCCAGAAGGCTGGGCCCTCGACCATTCCTATGTTCGTTAGACCGGAGTAGAAATTTATCCGGTCAATGGGTGTCTGGCAAGATCCTTCAATCGAGGAGACCACGTCGCGGCGCGTTGCCAGTTCGGTCACATTGTCATCATCCTGCGTAACTGGATTCTCGTAGACCTGATATTTCGCACGGATAAACCCATGGCAGCACTCTTGCCAGTCATTATTGCTGTAGCAAAACAGCCGAAACTCAGATGGTTGGTTGAGAGGCATGACAGAATCCTGGGCTAAATGCATACTCAACTGCGTCTCAACGCCTTCCGGCTCCTTGGAGATGTGTAGCGGCTTTTTAAAGTGGACTTCTGAGATTTCGAACCCCATCACGCCGGCTGCCTTTTTAGTGATCTGGTTTGCAGCCTCGATGGCCATGACAAGCATGCCTGCACCGGGATAGATCATCACGCCGTTTACAAGATGATCTTCAATCCACGGCATTTCGGACCCGCGAAGACAGTTCTTCCACCGAGGCTCAAGTGGATTCCAGTCCACCACCGGCTTACCCAGAAGGTCCAGCTTACCGACCGCGCCTAGCCGGGACCTTGCACTCAACCGGGACTCATTCCAGTACTTGTGCGAATGGTCGAAGACGTAGCTGGGTAGATCGGGCAGGGCTATGTAGTGCTGCTGGTTCAGATTTTGCTCGAGGTGATTTACTCTGTCCAGGCACACTGAATATCCATGACATACCAAATCCCCAAGCACACGCATTGTGGGGAGAGTTGCGTCATTTCCCCTAACCATCAGGGAAGTGTATTTGATGGGAACGGCGCTCAATTCCCGGACCGTGTCCGTAAGTGGACGGTGTAAACTTCGGTGAGGACTTATCTCCAGAAATATATCAAATGAGGAATAGCTGTAGCAACTCTGGTTGAGTCTTCTGTGGGATTGTTTAGAAGCTGCGTCCATCAGCGCGGCCACTGCATCCCTGAAGCGAACCCGCGACACCAAATTCTGTACCCAGTACTCCGGATCGAGGAGCTCGCTTGGGAACAGTTGCTTCCCTGTTACCGACGAGAACATCACAGTTCCTGGCTTGGATGAGAGCGGAGTCCCAGACTCGAGACCTTTTATGACCTCCCGATATTGATCTGCCACGCGCAGCATGTGGGGAGAATGATATGCAACGTTGACGGGCAGCTGCTGAGCAAATATTTCTTTCTGGTCTAATCTCGCCTTCAAAGCGGCGATCTGGTGAGTGTTACCGGAGACTGTGACATTGCATGGGCTATTAATGCAGGCCACGACCAGCTCGACGTTGCCATCTTGAAGCGCCAGCTCATCTAAATATTGCTGGACATCTTCTTCACAGAGCCCAACAGACATCATGGCCCCTTCCAAGCCCAACTCACCCGATGCCAGAACCGAACAGACAGCACCTCTATAGTATGCAAGCTTTAAAGCTGCACCAGCTGACAGAGCTCCCACACAATACGCCGCTGCAACTTCGCCAGATGAATGGCCCACGGCTGCCGATGCATGGACATTCCAGCTGTGCAGGAGGTCCACCAATGCCAACTGAATGGCGGTACAGCAGGGCTGAGCAAGCTCCGGGCTATTGATCCTGGAGTCCTGTTGTCGCATAATCTCCTCGCGCAGATGCCATGAGCAACCGAGCCCCAGTAAGGCCTGTTCCGACCGTTCTAGGCTTTGGTTGAATTCTGGGAAGAGCGTCATGAGATCACGTCCCATTCCCGCCCACTGTGCACCTTGGCCGGCAAAGACGAACACGAGGCCTGGGTCGGATTTCGATCTCACCGCGGGGACAATCGTGCGGTCGATTTGTGTCATGTCTTCCATGGAACTTACTATTGCCGTGCCTTTCCATGGCAATGAACTTCGGCGAGATGACAATGTATAAGCCAGATGGTCTAGATAGGTGGAGTCCAGGGCGTCGGCGAATTTGGTGAAGTATTCGGCGTATGCCGTTGCCTGTCGGCGGACTCCCGCTTCGTCGTTCGCAGAGAAGACTAGGAGTCTTGGTCGGTTCTCCTTGGGAGATGAATTGGGGGATTTGTGCAGCAGCGAGCGGGAGATGTTGATTGAAGTTTGTTGGAGAACAGGACTGGTCGGCGGATCTTGCACCGTCAGATGTTGCGCCGATAGTTGATTTTCCTTTAAGAAATGGAAAACATCATCAAGAATAACATGCTACAACCATTTTCAACGTCGAGTCAAATTTGGCTTCAGGGTTGGGGGGGGGGGCTCACTGCATTTGTTCCAGAGTTGCCAAACGAATTGACAGAAGCTCGTCGAAGACCCTTGGTTGGCCATGGCGTAGGCCGCAGGGGAAACTTGGGCAAGTACTATTAGCATTCGCAGACACCAAGCAGGTCCACCTTGCGCTAATACCTGGATCTTAAGAGAACTGCAGTCAATGTTTGGATTGACCTTCTCGATATTCGCAGTCGGCGAGATGATCCCCTTCTCCAGGATGAGCATCGCCCTAATGACACCGGCGATGCCACTGGCACCCTCTAAATGTCCAATATTGCTCTTCACGGATCCAACCCACAGCGGGTCGTCTAGAGTTCTAACCTGTCCAAATGCCGACCCGATTGCTTTGGCCTCGGTTGGGTCTCCCACAGGAGTGCCAGTGCCATGGGCTTCGAAGTATCGCGTTGGTTCCATGCTGAGTCCGCCATTTATATATGTATCCCGGATTAATCTCGCCTGCATTTCGGAGCTCGGGAGCGTGAGACTTGAGGTGCGTCCGTCTTGATTGCACCCTGTACTGCGAATGATTCCACGGATGGTGTCATTGTCCCTGATCGCGTCGGTCACTCGTTTGAGAACAAGCACGGCAACGCCTTCTCCTCGGCTATACCCGTTAGCTCTGTAGTCAAAGCTATAGCATTGCCCGTCGGGGGACAGCATGTTGAGGTTGCTCAAGGAGTGTAGGTTGTCTGGTGACAGCATGATGTTGGACCCCGCTACAATGCTCTGGTTCGTCGTTAGTCCAAATCCTACCATTCTACATTGGACTTTCAGGTACGATGGCTATTCAACGTGCATACCATATCTTGTCTCCCACACTGTAGATCACGACAGCCTAGATCCAGACACACCAAGCTGCTGGAACAAGCTGTGTCTATATTGGCGCTGTTCCCTTTGAAATTAAAAAACCAGCTAATCTTGTTCGCGTTGCACGATGCCTGTACACCAAGTGCTGTTGTCGTCGTGGACTCTTCCGAATCCTTATACTGCATTTGCATCCAATCGGTTGAAAAGCTGCCGGTATATACCGAGGTCTTCGTGCCTGCAGCTTTCTCCATTGGTAGACCGGCTATATGCTAGATAAGCTATTTCGTCCTGCCTGAAACTCCTGGGCTGTAGCCACCAACCATTTTCTAGCGCTGTGTAGGCATACTCTAGGAGTAGGCGTTGTTGCGGATCCATGCTCGCAGCATCTGGCATGGACGTGTCGAAGAAGGCGGCATCAAAAGCCGCGAGATCGCGATTCATGAAATGTCCATGCCTCACCGGGACCTAGAGCAAGGAAGGTTGACAGATATGGGTCAGCTTCGTTGATCATGCTATAGAAGATAGAGCATACCTGGCCACGTCGATGTCGATCCGGGTGATAGATGGAGTCAATGTTCAGTCGCTCTGATGGGACTTTTGTCGCCGTGTTTCTTTTATTCCACATCAGCTCCCACAGGGCATCTGATGTCGTTACATCTTGGGGAAATCCCAAGGAGAGTCCGACCACTGCGATGGCGACAGCATCCTCCATGGCTGGCGGGTTTTCACTCGAGCACAAGTGGTCTATGTACTGTACTTTTCCTACAGTCGAGAGGGGCTACAAATGACCAAGATGGTAAAGCCAAGCAATGTCAGCTTTATATGGCGCTTGCTTATCTTCCGCCTACTGGCTTGGCTAGGCTGTCAGCTTCGTAATCACTCGTAGGACTGAATTTTAATGCGACAAATTCCCCCCTCCCCCGGAGCAGAGTCGCATATCGGGCAGCCTTCCCACCACATTCTCTATGTCCTACACACACGCAATAACAACCGATATAACAACCTTTAGCCCCCTCAGAATGGGAAAAAAAAAAGGGGGGGGGGGGGGGGGGGGGGGTAGAGGTGGGGGCTGTGGTTACCTCCTGAGACTCCCCCTTGCGACATGGGACGCCTAGGAATGCGCAAGGTGCATGGAGGGCCGAGAGTGTCCGAGGGGGAAAACATGGGACTCCGGCGAAGATCCGGGGACTGTGTACAATCCATATCTATCACTGACATGGGTCCAGGCAGTGCGATCAGCCTACCAGCCTACCATCGCCCTGAGCTTCAAGGGGCAGCGAGGAGACGCAATGGGGCCAATTCCCATGGCGCATGACTGTCAAAACCCGTGTGGTTCGCTACCTTGGAGTCGTTCTGTATCCATCATCCCTCTCTTTTCGATCGCTCCTGTTCTTTGACGGTATCCAGAATGGCGGCATCTTCCTCACCACGGTCTATGACCACAGGCATCCTGGTTGAGTATTACCTGCTCACAGCTATCGCCCTCATCCTCGTCATCGCACGAGTATGGATGCGAATGGCTATCACAGGTCGCAACTGGGGATGGGACGACTATACGATTGTGATTGCTTGGCTATGCTCTGTCGTCGGCCTTGTCCTAATCCAACTCGCCGCAAACCTGGGCTCAAATCCCCTGCATCCCACCCCATCCGACCCTGGTAGGCTACGAAATATCAGATACAACACATTCTTCGAGATGGCGAGTATTGTTTGTACGCTCGTCACGAAGTTTTCTATCTGCTGTTACATCCTTCGTATTCGAGATGATCGGCAAATCCGCTGGGCGCTGGTTATCCTGATGATTCCTATGACCTTGATCACTATCGCAATCATCATTGTCTTGTCGATGTCCTGCACGCCACTTTGGAGCGATAGTATTCCCCCCGTATGCGTGCCGGTTACCGGCATGTATACCGCCGCCTACGCGCAATCCGCGTTGACCATTGTGGTCGATCTCTGCTTGACCTCAGCGCCGGCTATTATTCTCTGGGGAATCCGAATCCAGCGGGGGAGGAAGGTCTTCATTTGTGGCCTCATGAGCCTGGGCCTCATCGCCACCATCTCCAACGCGCTGCGCTCCTATTGGCAGCATTACCAGAGTAGTCGAGGCCTGTCCTGTAAGTCCCCGTCTTTATACCCCTTGCAGCCTTCCTTACTTGATTAATGATGGAACCTACCAGTTAATATGACGTGGCTCACGGTGTTTTGCATTGTGGAGCAATCTGCTGGGATCATTGCCGCCTGCATTCCGGCCTGTGTTCCGATCTTCAAGAGGAGGACAGTCTCGGATGACCGCCGCAATGGACTGCTGAGAGACAGGCAGAATTACTACGACCTCTCGAATCAGTATAGTGGCCAGAAAAAGTCTTCGACTCAGGTGTCTTCCATGACGACAGCGGCTGGGGAAGAGTAGCGTGTATTTAGCGTGTAAGAGCTAGGCCCGTGACTTAATGACAATTCTATCGGCTATCCGTCCGAGGGAGGCTTAATTTGGCTAGATACATGATTTGATCCAACCCGGGCGAACATTAGCGCGAATGCAGTTCGCTTCTTGCCGGCGTGGGTTTGGGGCCAAGTCTCAGCATCGCCTGATCTAAAGGACCAGGATCCAGATATCCCGGTCCAAAGAACCCCGCGTTCCGTCCTGATTCTGCTTATTGGACTCATTTTGATTACTAGAGATCTGCAGGGTACTTTCATTCTGCTACATACCACCGTGACCCACCACCACGTTGACTGCCAGTAGCACGCGACGGATGCCACCCCCACTTCAAAGTTTTACCTTACTTCAGGGCTCTTTCTAGACGAACGAACCAACCATTTCGACTTGGCGCCAATGTGAAAGGAAGACCGGAAGTAAAATGGGTCTACTTCTCGTAAAGGTCACACTTGCACCTTAAGTCTCGTGCCTCTATAGATTGGTTGGTGTAGTATTGTTCTTTTCCTATATATATAATCCCTTCATCCCGCCTACTGCAGATCTTGTCCTCCACGGACAAGGGGTTTAAGCACGATCAGTCCCTGCGCAGCAATGCCAACGTCCAAGCTTTTTGAGCAATGCCCCCCTTTCCCCTCGGGTTTGCCCGTGGTGGCCCTGACCAAAGTCTCTCTCTCGGCGCTGGAACGCAATTGTCCAGCAGAAGCCCAGAAGCTCCTTTCCGCATGTCAACAGTGGGGTTTCTTTCTCCTGGATATGTACGATTCCGACCGAGGAACGGCAATGCTGCAATATGCAGAAGACATGTTTTCTCTGACGGGCGACCTATCGGAGATGGACCACGACACGCTGAACAGATATCATCACACACCTCCCGATTTTACACGGTATGTGGTGCTCTCCGACTGCCCTCTTTCATTACCTGGCTAACGAGCACATCAGGTATAAGTCGATCGGGACCACCAAGACAGCGCCCGGACAGTTCGACCACATCTACGTCTACTCTATCGCCCAGGATGACATGCTCCAAAACGCTTCCGCCGAGCCCCAGCTCCCTCACCCGGAGACCATCACTCGCAAGACAGCCCAAACCCGCGACTTCATCTCCTGCAGCCATGCTGTGTTGGATCGTGTGCTCGCCAGCCTCGAGACGGGCCTCGGCATCGCCCCCGGAACGGTCTCCGCCATGTGTCCTCCCGCGGAACGCTCTGGGACCCTCGTCCGTCTCATCTGGACCCCTCCGAGCGCCCAGCAACCCGACTACCGTCAAATCTCCTTTGGTGGCCATACCGACATGGGTATCATGACGCTCCTCTTCAACGTCGCGGGCGGGCTGCAAGTCCTTCCCCCGGGTGCGGCCAACGTGCACGAGAACTGGCAGTTTATTCGTCCGGAGCCTGGCTGCGCTGTCGTCAATGTCGCCGACACCCTCGAGCTGTGGACTGGGGGCCTGCTGCGCAGCTCCCTGCATCGGGTCGTCACGGCCCCCGGGGACCAGGCGATGGTTCCGCGGAGAAGTGTGGCGTATTTACTGCGGCCGAGACAGAATGCGTCGTTGGCGCGTTTTGTGGGGGGCATTGTCCCGCCGTTGCAGCCTGGGGAGACGAATGAGACCAGGTCGGTGGATAAATGGAATGAGTGGAGGTCGCAGCAGATCCTGAAGGGGCAGCTGAAGAATGCACCTACGAGGGAACGGGGGAGAGAGAGTTCAGATGGCAGCTTGTGTAAGGATCCGGGAAGCTCAGGACACGGGGGTAAAGCATAGATAGCTACCGAGAAAATAGAGAATATCATAATCCAAGAGGAATACTGACGCATGGTAAATTCATCTAACATCGACGGGTTCGGTCCCGTTTATGTGACACAGCGCCCAACTGGTCGCTGCCCCTGATACACCCCGAACGCAGGTTCACAGCTTCTGAATCTTAGAAGCCGGCGGAATCAGAACCGCTGTCTGATGACTGATCGCAATCAAATCCATCTTCTCGTCAAACAGCAAAACCTCCATATCCATCCGTCCCTGCAGAATGCGCTTGCATTCATTCCGCAGGTACAGCCAGCGAACGCCCTCGGACGGCAGTCGTTGTTTGATCTCCGTCGACAAGGTCAACGAGACATTGACCATTCTCGCCTTGAGCCTCGTGGAGCCGTCATCCTCCAGCGCTCTCCAATCTTCTCGACCTTCCACGCGCGCCTTCTGCTGCAGCTCGGCAAACTCCAGCGTGGCTGCTATGCTTCCCGTCGACGGTTTGCCTTCGATGGGCGGGAACAGGTTCTCTTGGACCGGAAGCGGCATTTCCACTATGAATTGAATCATCTCGTTGGTCCACCGCGCGTCGGTATCTGTTCCTGTCCCGGTCCGTACCAGAGAGCCCTGCGGGTGGCAGTCCCAGCCTGGTTCAATCCACTGCTCGACGAAGGTGGCTTCCTGGCGCGGGATTCTCGGGATGAAGGCCTTGGCGTAGGAATGTCCCCGTCGGAACCCATCCGGGTAGAAGGCGCAGTGGTAGGAGATCCAGTCGGGATGGCTGTCGGTCTCAAGCTTCGTGAGGTCGATGGGTTTGGGCTCAGGCGAGGGACGCCAGCCCGTTTGAAGCGTCACGCCTTCGGTGGAGAAATTAGTGAGTCTGACAGGCCCACCATTTGTATTAGTGCATTCTCGTTCTTTCAGTTCTTGCGAACCACTGTCGACATCTACTCACACCAGATCCCCCGATGTCGTCAGTTTCTCACCCTGGAATGACTCGATGCGCAAGGTGGACCATCCCTTGCCGATGCTCACCTCTCGCAACGTCATCGTCATCGGCTTGGTGGGGAACACGGGCCGATAGAATTGCACGACTGCGGAGCGAAGATCAACCTGATGGTGCATCTTCGGATGGTGCCGGGCATAGTGGAGGGCATATTTGGCCATCACACAGGCGATGTAGCCTCCAATTGTCACTATACCCCCCGCCCGGCGAGTCAGTTCGCGCTCTCCAAATAAATATAAATAAATACAAGGGAATGCTGGAGGGGGCAGGATGTTTGTTAGATACCATTGCCGATCCCGATGTCTGAGGGGAGCTGCAGGGTGGTTGAAGGGCCGCTAGACGGCTGAAAGTCCAAGGCTTGGGACAGACTCGTGGGAGAAGTAGCCATTATGTATGTCCAAATCGCTTTCACCAAATTTTGGTTTTGAACTGCAACCCCGGGAATACTTTGGAGACGCCCGATATACGAGAGCAAAGAAAAAGAAGGGTTGGAGCCTTGCAGTTGAAATACCCAAGCACGAAAGGAAAAGGAACAAAGGAATGAAAGAAAACCAACCCTTGTCTTGCCCCCTGCGTGGCTTACGAAGCCTCCCCCTTCTTTTCTTTTCTTTTCTCTTTTTTTATTCTTTGGTTGTTTTCTTCGAAACTAAATTTGTTTAATTTTTCTTCTATTTTTTGTTTTCCTTTTTTTTTCGTTTTTTTTTTGTTCTTCTCTCCATGGCCCAGTGTACCCTGGAGTAACGATCAACAACATAGTATTATCACCCTCGGGCCCCATGGACCCAAGGCCCGTAACCACACAGCAATGGACACAAGTCTTGTCCGCGTTTGTGGTGTTCCTGAACACCTGGTTAGTCTTTCTGTGGTCCAATATGATTATTAGGGGCAAGATTAGCGACACAGAAGCAGCAGCACAGCGCTTACGGATCAGGGCAGGGGTATACTGCTATCGTTTGGTACCTTCCAGGCCTACTGGGAACAGCAGGGGCTGTCCTCTAAGTCGAGATCGGAGATTTCCTGGGTTTCAACGATCTGCGCCTTCATCCTGCTCCTCGGCGGTTTAATCACCGGTTCACTCTACGATCATGGCTATCTACGGCCCTTGGTCGTCTTGGGCAGCTTTTTCGAGGTCTTCGGCCTCATGATGATCAGCCTCTCGACGAAGTACTACCAGGTGTTCTTGTCCCAGGGGATCTGTATCGGGATTGGCGGCGGGATGCTCTTTGTTCCCAGTATTTCGTCCGCCGCTGCCAGCCTAGAAGAATTCCGACGCCCCAAATTCATGGCGCTCATCGCATCCGGCGCGGGCATTGGGGGGATCATCTATCCCATAATGCTGCGTCAGATACAGGCGAAAGTGGGCTTCCCCTGGGCGGTCCGGAGTGTTGCCTTCGTGATCCTCGCCACATATCTCATGGCCGGGACCATTCTACGGTATAAGCCCGTCCCCAGCGCCACCGTCCGGCGAGTCTTCGACCCCTCCGCGTTAACTGATCCGCCGTTTCTGCTCGCCAGTATCTCGGCCTTTTTCGCTGGCATCGCGTACTATCTCCCGCTCATATACCTGCCTGTCTTCGCGCAGACGGGTACTGCGGGCTTCTCCAACGCCGAGCTGGCGTACTATCTCGTCCCTATGGTCAACGCGGCCTCGGTCTTCGGCCGATTAGCCGCGGGATTCGCCGCGATGAAGACCGGACCCCTCGAAACGTATACATTCGGACTGGCCTGCTGTGTGTGCATGCTGCTGTGCTGGATGGCCGTGGACTCGGGGACGGGTGTCATCATCTGGTCGGTCTTCTGGGGTCTCACGACGAGCGTGATTGTCGCGTTGCCGGGCGCGATCATCCCGCTGCTCTGTCCGTCTCTCGACGTCCTGGGCACTCGGTCAGGCATGTACTGGGCATGCGCAGCCGTCGGCATCCTGATCGGGCCCCCGATCGGAGGTGCTCTGGTCAGAGGCTCGCGGTGGTGGCCCTTGCAAGTTTTCGCGGCTGTTTGTATGGGGGTTGCGATTCTTTTGCTGGGGTATCCGATCGTGTGTCTGCGTAGGCAGACCCTGGCGCGAAAAGCGATACAAGGGAGGGGAGACGACCATGCGATGGCCGAGGTGGAAAGAGTACCTTCAGATGTAAGCTGTCCTGCTTTGAATATGGGAACTCGTGAACGGACAGAATCTAATTATACCAGACGCCTGGGGAGACGCCCCCCGAGACCCGGAAGACGCTGCCAACTGAGCCCATTACGCATCACATCGATTGAGTGGCCGGTTCAATTCCTGAGGGGCCCATGTGTAGCCTCAACTGACGATATACACCTCGCATTTGATCATCTGTGAATACAAAATTGAAAAATACCACTATTCTGCACTTCCCAACCATTGTTTAAGCCATAATACCAGTGCTTACCCTCAGGAAGTGCTCGGTGTGCTTCAACCCATAACGAAAAGAACGCTGAAAAATGGCCTCTTATGGTCAAACTCAGCTGCTTGCCAAACTACAAGGGCCTGCGCAATCATGATAGAAAATGTCGCTCAATCCCAATTCTTTTTACCTTTTACGCCTTCCCATCCTCCTTCCATGTCAACCTCTCGCACTCCACCCCCCAAGTCACATCAATCGTAAATACTTCTCGAAGATCCTTTCATCCTGGGGTTTGCACTTAGTCTTGTGAATGGCACCCCCTGGCCTACGGCACCTGACTCGGTTTCCGCTTCAAACTCCAGGACAACCCGAACCACTACCACTCTATTCAAGCGTTTCGCGTCCATGTCTATAGAGAGTGTGGAAGGTATATAGAGATAGTTAAATCAGGTAATGTCACAGAATTAAGGGATCTTTGAAAGATTAAACGAATAAACAAGTTTCTCAAGTAAAAGTGTATCGGGGGAGTGTATACTCCATTTAGCCTATGGTTATATATAAATGTAGGGCTAAGGATCTGACCTTCTACAGTTGTTGGCTGAAGATAGGTTTATATATTTTTTTAGGGTCCCACCCAGAGGTACCTGTAAGAAAGAGTGATATCCATATTATTCGTGCTAAGTCGTCCAGCCTTGATATTTATAAGAAATCAAATGCTCATGTAGGTGGAATTTGGGAATCGAAAATTTTCGGGTGAGGTCCTGGCTAAGCCAAATTGGGAACCCACGGTCAACATAAGAGTGGATGGAAGTAGAGCGAGGAGTTCGATAGATCTTAAAATTGAGTGTAATACAGCTTCTAGACTATTATACTATTCTACAAGTTACAAGCAATCGTATATACTGTTCGCGGATTCGTGAGGGAGTAAACTGAGAAGCTCGCCTGATTGCTCCAGAAGCTGCCGGAGCGGTAGGTGCCTTCGCGCATTCTACTCCGAGAGAGAAATTTTGGGATTAGGTTAAATGCGGGATCGGTCCGTGATGCTAAACGATCTGTCCAACACCTACTGTCCTTCGATTTCCAGCTGCTATTCCTGCTCCACACAATATGGAGACGATTGGTTCAGATTGAGACAGTGGAGCCTATCCAATGCCCAGGACCAAGCATACCCGTAGAAGGACAGTAAAATCATGACATGGCTGTGCAAGGTGCAAAGCCAGATGGGTCAGTCGCAACTCGGGTATTATGATTGTTTTGTTCGTGCGTTTGACGGTGGTAGATTAAACGCGATGAGAACCGCCCGGCCTGCAGGAACTGTGTGAGACTTGGCTGCCAGTGTCCCGGGTTTCACCAACACCTGCGCTGGTCAAAGAAGCATGAGCGGTTCCAGACGACGTTGCACAGTGAGACATGCCATGGTCAATCCAAATATGGCTCTGCTCCTCCTACCAGATGTCAAGCGATTGAGCACAATAGCCCGGCGTGCCAATCAATGAATCGTTCAAACACCTTAAGTCCAGCACGCGGCGGAGTCAATCCCTTGACTGTGGACGCTGATTTCGACTGGCGAACTACGGTTCCATCAATATGGCAAGCCATAACACCCAGTGCCAGGGCACAACGGAATGGTAGTTTAGACTTGCACTCAACCATCACCGGTGGTGTTTCCAATGTGTCGCATGATCGACTGGGTATGCCAGGTAACGGGATCTTGAAGACCCCGGTCCACTTACTAACCTCGTTGATCCAGTACTGGTTTCGCTACATTTGTCAAATGGGCTCCACATTTGACTCGGAGGTCAATTATAACCGCCAATTAGCTTGGAGTGTATGGACCACGTCAGAGGCCGTTTTTTACACTATGCAGGTCATGTCCGCCGCCTGCCTTCTGGACAGCATGCCTCAGCCCAGGGAGACCTTACCATCCCTGACCGCACAGGCTACCACAGCCATTGATCAGGGCATATCTCAAGTAGTGGCTTCTCAGTCACCGATAGTTACAGCGAATGTAGTCTTCGCAGTGTTTGCATTGGGTACCTCGTTGCATTGGAGTACCCACGCAATTCCAGAGCATCTGTGGCTGGAAGCGGCTCGCAACTTGCTTTCCATTTACAGAGTACAACTCTCGGCAACAGAAGCCTTGCTGCACGCATATTTCTGTCAGAAATTAACCTCCTGGGAAATGATTCTCAGCTCAGTGGGCTGTGGCTCAATCGCCGCCCAGGTTGATAGGATGCGAGGACAATACAAAGCCAGATTTCTTCAAGTGCTGCATGTGCAGGACGGCAATTGCAATTCCCTCTGCAACAACACACTACCCGACGATGCAGGGCAGGCCCTCTTAAGGACCGGGCCCAATGCCTGGTGTGGCGTCTCGAAGGAGGTGGTCGATGTCTTCGGACAGGTATTGGCTTTGTGTCGCAATGTGTGCCAGGAGACAAAGAACAACAATCCCCTAGTGATTCTTATGAGACGCAGCTCGGCTTGTGACATATTCTTTGCGTGCGATTTGCGGACAAACTTGCTAGCGATGGATTTCAGCACGCTCACCATCATGGAAGAGACACAAGGGTTTCCCGTCCAGACGCGGGACGATAATACGCCCATCTCGCATCTGCTACAAACAGCTGAAGCATACCGCCAACCCGCACTGTTGCAGCTGCGCTTTACATTTGGTGGTCTTTCTATGATACCTGAAGAAAGACATGGTGACTTCATTATCACCGATGCACTGCCGAATGACGAAACAGCCGATACCGCCGTGACTGAGCAGTCTCGCGCAGAGTTTCTGCTTACATTACCCCTGCAACTTGTCGCAACTCTGGAGCAAATCCCTGCGGATTCGGGTTCTAAATCGATTCATCACATGCTTTACGTTTCCGAAGCCGCGGGCCTCAGAGTGGACACATGTGCAGTACCACAAGGTGACCTTCATGTGGCTGGAGCACCCCAAAGAGTTGCTAGGCTGTTCAGTGTCTCTACTTGGAACCACCTGCCTTGCAGATGCAGCAGCGTTTGCGCGATGCTGGATGGCTGGTGTTGGCCCTGCCTGAAAACCCGTGTCAATGCACCTCAACATCGTCACTATGTGCCCCAGATACATTCATTCCGCAATCGGGTTTGGGAGTATCCAGAGCGAGACGCCTTAGTTGGGCCCGACTGAGTAGTCTCCAACACATGCTTCCACATAATGTGAGTGGCAGTATACTACGGCTAGTTAAGGCCATATGGCTGGAATACGATACTCGGCAACCAGGTTGTCCCAATCTTAGTTGGTGCGCCATATTAAGAGAAACTGGATCAGAAATGATACTTTGGTGAAAGATACTGGTTACAAGACTAGGGTTACAAGACTAGGGTGCCCTAGGTTTGGTCGGATGTCCTTACGCTTGGTCCTGTTTGTGATCAACGTAAAAGAATTACACCCCCAATAATGAGCATTTCTCTGCGATTCCGAGCTGGATTTCCATCTACTGGGTACGGATCAGCGTTGGCTGGTAGCTCTTGTGGAACTGTCCAACAATGGGGCTCGCGCCAAAAGCAGTAAGGGTGGCTCACAAGTCTACCAGTCCAAGCGGCTTACTCGGGCTTATAGCCAGTTAGGGATAGGGATGGTGCCGCAGTAGTCATTCTACGGTTCGAGGGAACAGTCGCCGTAGTTTTTTGTCGCTATCCTCTCCGCCCATCTTGGCCTTATCGGCAGCTTTACCATAACCAAAGAATCCGCGGGAGGATCTTCTCACTCAAAGTCGTTACCGAAACAAAGTTTCTGGCATACTGCAGCCCTCAACATGCAAGAGTACTTTGTAAGCACAACTGGTCTTCGCGGTCAACTATGAAGGACGTGGCAGATAATATAGTAGTTAATGAGCACCCGAAAGTCAACTATAACCTTAGTTCTTGAGCACACGACGGAAAGTTCCGATACAATGTCAAGTAGACAGAAGAGAACGATAACCCAGAGTTATACGGCGCAAGAGGATCGTGAAATGGTGGCCTCCAGGCTACGGGAATCTCATCTCAGATCCCCCTGGATGCTAGAGCGACTGCAGAGACCTAAGAATTGCTACCATGGACCGAGGATAATATATTTATCGTAGATGAATGCTTTGGATCTAATGCATGGCGAATCAAACATAGGAATATGGAAGTTCTCTTAGATATAGATGGTAGGACGATTGTCTCATACAGCCAGCCCTCAACCCATTTATGTAAAGCAGCCTCAAATAATAAAGTGCCGAGAAAGTGTACTTCATTCGTCTAGGAGCGTCTCCAAGAAGGTTCATTTCTACAATACCTACCATACTATATCTCTCCATACACTATTGTTGTCCTTTTGTTTAATGCTGCACAGGTTTTAGCAATCGCTCCTGAACAGGTATCTGTGTCCTATTCCGGTGTTTACTTATCAATAAAACGTACCGTATGCTGAGGGAGAGTTAGGCCGGAGCGGTTGCTACGTCACTAATGAAGTACCCCCTGCGATGAAGGGCAGAAAGCCTATTTCACGTTCCATACGATATAGTCTACACGTTATCGAAACACCACAAGCTCGCACAATGCTCGGACGGTACCAGGATACGTGATTGTTGAGGCCTACCTATCTTTCTACTCACCGTTCTGCCGTGATCTTCAATCAATGATGGACTATTCCAAAATTGTGCATGAGAGTAAATGGAGCAATTACTAGGTGGGACCCAAAAGCATATTTGTCTAAAAGCATAACTTATGGAAGATAGTATTCCTACGATATCTTCATATTCCCCGTCTATGGGTAGCTTATAATGGACACCATCTCCCACGGACAGCCCATGAGCGTAGGGCGGAGGAAAAGTGTCCAAGACCCGCCTGTGGCGGTGCTGAGGCCTAAGTACTTGATTCGTTCTATTTGACTGGTTGCGGCACCTTGTCTAATAATCCTGAAAACGCGATACCCGAGGGTCTTGTTGAACACATTCCACTTGCTGGTCACATGCAACCCTAAGCAATAAGAACCCGAGGTTGTCGAAAGTCGTTGATGCTTACTGACGTTAACATTTAAGGAAGCCACAATCTCATTTCGATAGTATAATATCGCTACTCACACCAGTTCCGGCCGGTCATGCCACCTGTTTTTGCCGTTTAAGTTCGCTTTTGTGGCCGTTTAGTTTGTAACGCTGGGTTACTGGAGGAGACGTCTTTTCTATCCTTGCAGGTATACTCTATAGTTTATGCAACAGTCTGCATTATTTGATATCTCACAAAGAAGCTTTAACGAAGATGTCACGGGATAGTTTCCCTTCCTTGCTATTTTTCGATGTCTTGGGCACAATTGTGGAATGGAGATTTTGTATCGCAAACGAACTCAATGCTACAGCACAAAAGGCTTTGCAAGATCAAGCTCGATGTTTGAGTGCCGCTGTGCGAGCACGTGTCTCTGATATGCCCACTTCAAGCTGGCAGCAGATCGCCGAGGAGTGGCATCGTTCATATATGAACTTCGGAGACACTTACGATGCATCTAAGCCCTTTGTCTCAGTAGACGAGTACAATCGCATTTCGTTGGAAAGCATTCTCGTCAAATGGCTTCTCCGGGATTTGTTTAACGATGACGATCTCAAAAGCTTGACTCTCGCTTGGCATCGACTCGACTCATACCCTGACAGTGTGCCAGGCCTTTCCTTGCTGAACACTAAATTTCTGACGTCTACATTATCCAATGGTAATGTAAAACTCCTCGATGACCTACAAGAACACAATTTCTTGCCTTTTAAGCACATCACCAGTGCAGAGCATTTCAGTGCTTACAAGCCCTCGCCAGAGGTCTATCATGGTGCTGCTCGCAGGTTTGGTTTCAGAAACTCGCAATGTTGTCTCGTCGCAGCTCATCTTGAGGACTTGTATGCCGCCAAAAAGTGTGGGTTCCAGACAATCTATGTCGAGAGAGAGCTGGAAGAAGCCTGGGATAGTACAGCCATTGCACGAGCCAGGGACGAGGGATTTGTCGATCTTTGGATCGAAGTTGGAGGCTCAGGTCTGATTGAGGTTGCTCGGTATTTTGGAATAGACAGTGATGTTGCATGAATGAGCACCTGTCGGACATTGAATCTATTAGGCAAATTCAAGTCGCGAACTACATGACACACCCACCAGGTCCTCAGATCCGTCAAATCAGTTAATTAGATCTGCTCTATTCTTCGAGCGCTTCTGGCTAGCATTCAACCTCTAGCTACACATATTTACTGACGTGATGTATTACAGGGCCTCAAACCAACCTTCCTTCATCCCTATCATCTCTAACCCAAACTCCCGCAAGCCCGTCAGTATTGCTAGCCTCTTCCACTATAAGTACCGTTAGTTCCTATTGCATTCAATCAAATGACCTTTCCATACCGACAGGTGCCCCGTTCAGCAATCAATACACCCTACCTGTCTGTACTCCTCATCCCCCACGGCATCCAACCATTCTGTGGCCCCGTAGGCAATGGCCTCATGAACCAAAAAGCTTCCTTCCTCGGCTCCATGCCAGTGAGTAACCCCTGGAGGACACCAAGCAATATCGCCAACTCTCAAATGCTGGGGACTACCCCCTTTATCGCAAATCCATCCTGATCCAGCGATGACACGTAGCAGTTGTCCTCTTGCGTGAGTGTGCCAATGAGTTCGTGCGGAAGGTGTAAACAAAACGTTGCCAATCCAGGTATCATTGTCCGCATGGCTGGCATCGATATATGCATCTCCAGTAAAGGTGTCACCGAGAACTACACTAGTTTCGTTTGCTGGGGAAGGGCGGGCAATTATGGCAACAGGTCCAGAGGTTGACACGGTTTGTAGTAGAGGGACGAGGGAGAGTAGATAGTTCAGGAGTCTCATTGTTTCTGTGAGATGTTTGGAAGACCGTCTGTAAGACTATTTTGTGTTGGCAGTCAAAAAGCATATGAAATGAAGAGCTTAAATATATACAATATACGGTTGGTGCTATTATAAGTCCGAGTGCGCTGACCTGCCAAGCGAAGGGATAGACTTCTGTAGGCTTTTCATTCGGTCGGATATATGCCAAGGGGCTGTTGTACGTGTGCATCCTTGGCGGCATCTGCAAAGTATTGCACACTTTGACTACGATTCCGCTTCAATCCTTTGCCCTGTGCCAGACACTGGAGACTCGGGTGGGTGATGAAAGTGGACAAGGCTAGAGGTTATTGCACTCTTCTCCAACGTACGGCTTGGGCCTAGAATTAATCACTTGTGGTTAGCATTGTACTGATATGGATAGAGATATATGTAGTATTCATTCCACCGGCGCTGTATTCATCTAGGGTTATCGAGATGGGAAGCGGCGGAGACGGAGTATACCACGCTATTCTGTAGAATGCAACTCGCTTACTGTGGGTCAATGTCCCTAGGTGATATTATAGACCAGGTACACATTTCTTCCATTCAGTTAACGCGAATCCCAACCTCAAACGTCTTACAATTTTTTCTTTCCTTTGGCTAAACTGCAAGAACAGCCAGATAATTGGATATGAGTCTATCAGATCATAAGCTTCAGTCAATCACAAGGATCCTGGCCCTTTGGACTCATTCGAATTAATGTATCCCCGGTTTCTTCATGAATATGTAAAGAAATCCATCGGAACATCACAAGTGGTTGTACAACCTCTCTGCATTCTCAAGATTCAAGAAGCACGCGATTGTGGAGAGCCTACGCCACTTCTTGGCAGTCATATAATCCGTTTCGGGGGTAGGAGGATTAAATCCGTGCCCGGCAGTGGCTGCTGACATGTGCTATGAGATCGACATAGCTTTGTCTTCTTATGACTACCTCGAGAGTAAGCCATCTCACAAGCCCAAACCCAAGATTCCACGCTTGGCGCCTTGGCCGTTCTAATGCCAGTCGCTGACACCAGGAAGTCTTGGCAGCCTGATGATGAGACGAAGAGCAGGCGAAAGACAAGAAAGATGAACATGAATTGGAACATTCAATATAAGAACACGGTCACCAGTGGCCTCCCTGCTGGTCCCTATTGGTCAATTGGTGAGTCGGCAGCGTGATCCATACTCTATCGTATTCAGTCCTACGGTCTTGGCACCCTGGCTGAAGATATAATCTTAGTCTGGTTTTCCTAGGGTTTGATTCTAACTCCGGGTGGAGGAGTCCATCATACAATCACAATGACCGTTTCACCAGAGTGTCGAGAAACATTCACAACTGTTCATCTTCATTCTTTGCCATGGCTCTAATCTGCTTTCGACGATCTAAACTTATGCTGCAGTACGCGCAGTTTGCTAAAATAAGGGTCTTTGTCGACATAAGTCCCTCTTAACCATCTTGGCTTTCCAATGTCAGCCATGTCAAAGGCCCTCCTGGAGTGCAGTATCCTTGTGTTGTTGAATAAGACACACTCCCCAGGTTTCATCTTCCGCTCGTAAAGGCACTCTGGGCGCTGCAATAGAGCATTAAACTTCGAGGCGGCCTGGTGCCACCGATCCACCTTGCTGTTCAGTGCGGAGAGATCAGGGTCGGCAAGTTGTTCCTGATGTATGGGATCTTCATGGATTGAGAAAGGTGCTAGAAAGGGAGGGCCCCAATTTATCTTGTCCATGCAGTCCACTAGCATAGCCTCAGTCCATCCAGATCCCCCCTTCCGCATACTAAGCTCATGCCAATCCCTGATGTAGTCTTGAATACCAGTGTACATTGTATTGCCGATGCGAAGGGGACGAAGGCCAATGACTGGCTTAGTGGTGCGATACACATTGGAATCCGGATGATTGTAGTGGTAGTTCACGGGGACGGTCGCAAGGGTCTCGAATGCGTCCACATCCATGTGAAACAAGTCCACTGCGGCCTTGAAGGCATCTGCGAATACGCTAGCCCCTCCTGAGGAAGCAGATTGAATACAATGTAGAAGCTGGATGTGTGGTGGTTGCTGGAAGTACAGTAGGTCTGTGTGGAAGCCTAGATCATTGGACGTGTATGCGGCATTGATCGCCTCCGGCACAGTGCGCACTGCCACGGCTGTTAGCTGAGTCTGAACTATGAAAAGTAGTAGTTAGTGAGGCGTACCGTCCCACGTATAGCCATAGAACGTATCCTTCACCGGTCCGATACGAGTTGCGATAGTCGCTAAAGATTCCTCTTTACCGGGAACATTGGTTACGAACGCCAGCCCCTCGGTCTCGAGTTGATTAATCAATTGGTGAAGCGTTCCATCGTCCCGCATGTAGGTGTTGTAGTCATAGTCTACCAGGTTAGGAGCTTCCTGACCCCACAATGCTGGAGGCGGAAAAGAGTCCTGTTGATGTCCGGGGAGGGAGCCGGAGCTGCTGAGTTGCCGTAAAGCTGCCATGCTCAACGTTGTGACATGCTCCTCAGTAAAGCCGGGTACATCATTCTCCCATCTGATGTTTACCGAATCCGATGCAGCGTCGGTCTCCACAGCTTGCGATTGAATCTCGGCCGGTATGTCGGCAGTTGAAAACAGCCTCTGTTTGGTCGACTCGTGCACGCACAATGGGCACGAGCATGCGTCACGTAGGAGGATCGCCGAAAATTCGGCTTTCTTCCCATCAATTGGAATGGGCACTTTGGTCGAGATTTGTTTCGACGAGAATTCCGGTTGGCTCATTCCTTCTACTGCAGCTACATTGTTGATACTCCTCGAGGAATACGAAGGATGAGTAAGTGTGCCGTTTACTGTCCTTGGCTTTCTCAGCGATTGCTTTGATATTACATGTTAGCTGGGTGTTGATCTAAAAGTTGCAACAGCAATCGTGTACGCACATTTGAATGAATCGCTCCAAGGCCCCTGGCTTTCCAATTCTGCTGCAGAGACGCGAATTGTGTGGTTGACAGCAATCGCCTGAAAGATAACCGCACCGGTGCAACTTGGATCGACTTGACGATCGCTAGCTTTCGTGTGGGTTGCATTTTTGGGGTCTTTTCCCGGATAATGATAGTTTGATCAGATGAACAGAACTTATTCGGATGCTGAGCTACACTGGACACTATAAATAATAGATAGGACACTGTATTTTGCTATGCGGCATAGGTCAACTATCAGATCACGATGCGTGAGTGCACTAACGCTTTTTGTAGAATTTGTACGATTCCCCGCTTCAGAACGGTTGATCTAGTGGTTTGGGCTTTCTTGATAACGTCATACCCATCCAGGCCTTCTGCCAATAGATACAGGCGAGACCATCCATGGGCGTTGTGTGATCATTGTCGTCTAGCAGGCGTTCGAACAGATCGACGGCCGAGACGTTCTTCGTACGAACTTACCCGATTCGGGTCTGGATGTGGAGTTCACGGCGTCGGTTTCCCACCAAGCTAGAGGCAACTGGGCCAAATAATACGAAAGCTGACATCTTATTGGTTCTCCTCTTCGGTTAGCTGTCGAGATCCCGTACTTTCCTGCTATAAATGGTTTAGCGCAGCTTGGTCACTCTGGATGGACTCATAGAAGCAGTCCTGAAGCTTTAGGAATGCCGTTATATAGAACGTATTGTTGCCGGACTAGATCATTCCTTGCGGCTTGCAATATTTAAATTCCCTTCTTCTAGTTGTTTGCACAGGATCTCTTACCATATAGCGCGTATAAGCTAGGATAGTGACTATGGCTCCCATGCAGGAAGATGAAACCCACCAGGAAGTAAAGACACCACTACAACTCATTTCTCAAGGTGTTTGCCTTCCTGGTATCCCTAAGCATCCCACCTTCGCTGCACAGCGGCAATGGATGCTGGAGAAAATGGCGCTGGCTTTCCGCGTCTTTGCACGCTTGGGGTATACGGACGGCATGGCCGGTCACATCTCGGTGCGAGACCCAGAAAATCCGCACACATTTTGGACGGTACACCCAGCAACACACCATGTGAGATCCTGAAGGAGAGCTATAAGACTAATCCATCCCAGAACCCATTAGCAGTGCACTTCGGCCTATTAAAAGTCAGCGACATGATCCTTGTGGACTATGAAGGGGTGCCGATTGGTGGTAAGAAAAAGCCTCCTCCTTTCCCAAACCCCAATCGTCAATACAAGCTTAGCACTGAATGGTTTTCCCAGGAAATCGGAGTCGACCAGCGAATGCTGCAGGATTTTTGATTCACAGTGCGGTTCATAAGGCTCGACCAGACGTTATGGCGGCTTGTCATACTCATAGTCCCCATGGTATGGCATGGAGTGCATTCGGACGGCCACTAGAAATGCTTACTCAAGATGCTGCGTACCTGTATGGTGATGCCCAGGCTGTATATCAGGTTTGGCAATATCCCAGTCCCGCTCATCATTCTGTCGCTGATAGCCTGCAGGACTTTGGAGGGGTTGTACTCACACAGGATGAAGGTGACCGCATTGGTACCGCGCTAGGTGGGTCTGTTGAATCCCTGCCTGCTCCAGAAACATGTATTAACGACGGCCGTGACTGAGTAGGACCAAAGGGCAAGGGTATGATTCTCCAGAACCATGGTCTGCTCACTGTTGGCTCCACGGTGGATGAAGCATGTTTTCTGATGACTCTCATGGAGCGTGCTTGCCAGTGTCAGCTTCTAGCCGAGGCGGCAGCGGCCAACGGATTGCCGAAAGTTCTCATCCCGGAAGAAAGCGCGAAGTACACGTTTGATAACTCGAGTGACCCAGAAACCCTCTACTGGGAGGGACAACCAGACCTACAGTATGAAGAATACATGTGCAATGGCGAACATCGAGGTTGACGTACTGCATATCCTTGGATAGTTCCAAGACACTAGGACCGCCTAATCTAGCTCCATAGCACGGTTATGAACCCACTAGTTGTCCACCGGTTGTTAGTTAAGTTATATAAAGCACACGTTCACAGAGACTTCTAGGCGACGAGCAATTCCTAAGCTGCTGAGCCTCCTTACAGCGAGAGGCCACCCCCTGTGCGTGAGTCAGAAAATAGTGTTTTGGTGGCCAAACTGCCCGTTTATTAGGTAACTATAGCATTGAATCGGGTATAGTAGCGCCAAGTTAGAAGAGCATTGAGCTCTGATGCAGATCCGGGGCAAAGCTACCCCGAGCAACCTTCCCCCGCGTTTGTCAATGCGGGGAAATCGGACATGCTCCGATGGACGAGTGACCAAAAACAAATTGTATGGCTTCAAATTCATGGGTGAATCCGGTTGATCATGATATGAACGTTTCCAAGCCACCATCCACCCATCCCAAAATGACGAAGCCAGAGGATCTCCCCACCGAATATCTTGAGAATGTTCAGAAGGTCGAGCAGTCGGAGCAGGATGTGATCTACCAGACTTACGTCTCCCAAAGTCCGGAATGGCATCGGAAGATGACCAGGCAGCTCCTCCGCAAGGTGGATTTCCACCTCCTGCCATGCCTCATTCTGATGTACTTGCTGAACTTTCTGGACCGGAAGTACGTACCCCCGTCTTTCCTCAATCGTGGTGAGACTGACAAAGTAGTAATTTGTCTCAAGCACGACTGGGCACCCTGGAGGAGGACCTGAACATGGAAGGGACAGACTACAACCTCGCGACCAGCATTCTATTCGTCGGGTACCTACTCATGCAACTACCGTCCAATCTCCTCCTCACACGCGTCCGGCCCTCGTTACTTCTGGGGATCACAATGGCCATCTGGGGGGTGATATCAGCCTGTCAGGCTGCCACCCACTCGTTTACGGGATTGGTCCTCTCTCGATTTTTCCTCGGTTTTGTGGAGGCCCCGTTCTTTCCGGGGGCGATTATGCTGATGTAAGTCAGTTGGAGGCGTTGTTCACGACGTTGATGATGCTGATTGGATCAGGTCGAGTTGGTACACCCGCCAAGAAGTATGATTCAATGGTCATCAGCCGCATATCTGGAACGATTGCTGACTCCTCTGTAGCTGAGCCATCGAATTGCCTGGTTCTACGCAGGAAGCTCATTGGCCAACGCATTTGGCGGTTTGATCGGTGCCGGTGTCCTGGGCAACCTCGACGGTGCCCATAACATATCAGGATGGCGATGGTTATTCATTATTGAAGGGTGTATCACGGTAGGAATATCGTTGATATCCATGTATGTGCCCTGTACTCCCTCCCACCGGTAATGCTAACGGCCCAGTCTGCTCTTGCCAAATTATCCCGCAACCACGTCATGGCTTAATGAGACAGAGAAGTTATACGCGCAATGGCGTCTCATTCATGATGCGGGAGAAGCCGACGAAGCGAGGTCGACCAACCTCCGCGAGGCGCTATGGTTGGTCTTCTCCGACAAACGCATCTACCTGTTCATCTTGCTCCAACACTCGTCGCTCCTGTCACAGAACTTCCAGTATTTCTTTCCAACCATCGTCCAGACGCTGGGTTATGGGAATATCGAGACTTTGCTGATCACTGCACCGGTCTGGATTGCCACTTTTCTGGTGTCCCTTCTGGTGACATGGTCGTCGGGCCGGACGAATGATCGCAGTCTGCATATCATCTCGTTGATGCTCGTGAGTGTAGTCGGATGCGTGATCTGTACCGCGACGACGAACATTGGTGCCAGATTCTTCGGCATGTTTCTGTACGTACCGCCGTCCATTCACATCGACCAGGACTGACTGTGTAGGATGCCGATGGGTGCTGTGTCCGCCTATCAGATCATCATCGCATGGGTAGCCAATTCCTTCCCCCGGCCCCTGGTCAAACGATCCGCGGCCATCGCGACGGCGAATATGATTGGCAATACAGCCTCCATTTATGGAAGTTACATGTGGCCCTCGTCCTCCGGCCCGCGGTACATCGCAGGTGGCAGTGCAACGGCCGGAATCGCGTTACTCGTCGCGATCCTCGCATTTGTCATTCGCATAGTACATTCCCGGATGAACAAGCGGCTCGATATGGCCCAGGAGAGCAGTCCGATCGAGGATGGCGCTTTGGAAGGACGTCATACAGGGATGAGATACATTTTGTAATATTCTTCTTATCAGGAATAGACACGGTATGGCAACTGGATGCTGTACCTGAACGTGGTTGAAGAATGTGTGGGCTGGAGTCTGGAAGGAACCGGGTTGTCCCGACTTCTCGGGATCAGGTACATAGATGTTCCATAGCTTTAATTTAATAAACAAGCCTGTCACCCTGCGGGCGAACTAGCATAATCATTTGCTTTGGAACCCGGCTAGGGTTAGTGGCGTGGCAGATGGCGAGCGTATCCCACTCATAGATCGTTGCATTGGGTCGAGTCGTCCTCGAATTTCCTCTTCGGTTGCAAGATGAAAAACCCTGACGCTCTTAGCAAACATCCTATCGCATCTCAGGCGCCGTTTTCGAACCTCGATGTCTCAACCAAATTGAAAGCCTGGGAGCTCAAAATATGTTCTATAGATTCATAAGGCGGCATTTAGTGTACTACCCACGTGGTGCTCTACATACGGCTTGAATCTTGCGCGGCCAGGAGAGCACTAGGCGAATTATAGTCTAGATTCAGCTTCTCTTTTCATTTGTAGATCTATTTATTACAGAGTATTTATGAATGAAATCCCCATCGGCTCGAGCCGAATCATCGGGAACTACCGACCTTGTCGGCCGGGCCGAAAGGATTGACCCTAAGAGCTGCCTGAACGTGTGCATGTTCACACCCTCGTCGATATTACCTACCTCCTGACAAATAAAAGTCAGTATGCCACTCTTGCTTAATGCTGTTGCAATACGTTTGACCCACTATATTTCTGTTCAATGTCCCCTGCCAACATGTGGGTCAGCGCTGCACCATACCACCTTCTTCTTCAGGCTGACTATCAGACAACAGGCATGTTACGCTCCTTCACGCCTCTATTCCTTTCGGCTAGCTCAGATATGATGTTGCTAAGTTTGCCTGCAACTAGGGTTCCATGCAACCTCAGGGTGAGCAACAAGCTTACGGCTGGCCGCCGTTAAATAGAGGCGATGGCCGCTCAGATCGAGTTCGTTCTTGATGCCATACAACCACACTCCTTTAATCATTTCGTTCACGTCACTCCTTTAGATCAATCATTTCATTCCGTGTATTTATATCATGTCCCGTCTACTTGCACTTCTTGCTGCTTCGGCGTCGCTGGCCTTGGCTGCCACCATCCCTGTGATCCCCCGGGGCACAGGTGCAGGCATTACTCCTCACGAGCAGTACTCCTCCTCAGTCGGCGTTGTCGGCTGCAAGATCAACACCAACCGGGTGGCCTACTGGCCCAGCGCAGTGGACTGCAATGACATCTGCGTCAAGGTCACCTACAAGGGCCGCTCCCTCAACATCCTCAAGATTGACACCTCTGGGGGCGCGTATGACATCTCCTACGACGCGTGGAACTACCTCGCCTTCGGCCAATCTGCGAAGGACGACCCGCATACTGGCGGAGCGATTCATATGAAGTATGAGGTCGTCGACCCGAGCAAGTGCGCCGATCTCCTGGACAACGGCAAGCTGCCGCTCTCCGCAGCCAACAGCATGGACTTTCTCTCGTCGTGTCTGAGCCAGGCCGACAGTTTTGTCGCCAAAAACCACGTGTTGTACAACATCGCCGACCCTGTCTGCCACTACGGTGTCGATGAGGTGTGCAGCCTCGACCTCTCTGTCAGCAACCAGCCCTCGTGTCCCAGTGGCCTCGGTAGCACCGCTCCGCTAGACGAGCCGGTGTATAACATTGAGTTCGGAACTGGCAAGGAGGTTGTCGCCTAAGAGCATTCTCCCCGGTCTTGCGGAAAGCTGTATATCCTTGTCTCAATCTGTATACTTAATATACTAGAATGCTCAAAGTTGCCCTGGGCATCACAGACCTAAATGTTTGAGATGCTGCCAGTTGATATGATCCCGGATCAGAAACTGCCCGAAGTCAAAATCCACCCGGCCAGATGCATTTTATAGGGCAAATCTATGGCACGAACGCCAACCCAACTAGATTCAAGTTTAATAATTTACACCAAGTTGAGGGCTCGTCGCATGCCGGTTCCTAGTATGGGACTGAAGAATAACCTTGTAAACCCACGGGTTGATATACCTAATCTGTAAGTTATCTGCGGAGAATCTATTTCAGTATAAAATCTCTAATGGGGTAAGACCAAGATACATAAATATATTAATGAAACCTCACCAAAACCCGCGTGTCCAACTCACAGGTTTTGACCCAAGCCGTCTATTAATGAGCAATATAAGCTTTCTTATAAAGTGGCGTACTATCCCATTACGTTCAGAGCAGAAATCACGCTGCGCCGTCAAGTCTCTGAGCCTCGCACATCTTGGCATACATGCCCCCCTTTGCGACCAACTCGCTGTGCGTCCCCACCTCCACAATATTGCCTGCGTAGAAGACGAAGATGCAGTTAGCGTCGCGGACCGTCGAAAGGCGGTGCGCCACCGCGATGGTAATTCGGTCGCTGGACAACGCGGCCTCCAACAGAGCGCCCTGGACGAGCTTCTCCGACTCGGTGTCGAGCGCACTCGTTGCTTCATCGAGCAGGACCACGCTCGGCTTGCGTACCAGCGCCCGAGCAATGGCAATGCGCTGCCGCTGACCCCCGGAGAGCTGGCTACCGCTGGTCCCACACGGCGTGTCGAGGCCGTCGGGCAACGAGGATACAAAGTCCCATGCGTGGGCCGCCCGGCACGCCTCCTCCAGCGCCTCATCCGACGCTGCGTCCGTTACGCCAAGGTACGGCATGCCGTGCGAGATGTTATCACGGATCGTGCCTGGGAAGAGTGTCGGCTCTTGCTGCACCAGGGCCACGTGCTTTCGG